TTTTCTAATAAGTAGCGGTTTAAAACGGTAATATGTAATATACATATATTTATAATATAGATAAGTACCCATCATGTAGTACAACTACTAATAATATTCCGACTTTCTGTATTATGCTTCGTTTTGTATTTATTGATCAGAATTCGATTGATTGTATCGTTCGAATTGCAAAAATGTTTTTATTATAAGACAATTGTACTTAATTATAATACACAACAATGTATGTTCGATGTTAGCAATAAAATTGTTTGTATACATAGATTACATCGTTCAACTAACATTTTACAATTTTTTAACTATTCAAACTGCGACCACATCTAGTCGCATCAAAAGTTTCTTATCTATATGTTATTTTCGGGCCCATAACGTTAATTTACATTATAAACGGTAGAAAATATTTTAAAAGCTAATACGAGAATAAAAGCCTCTCCTATAAGTTATTTCAGGATTTATAATTAAGTTTCTGGGCAAAAAGTACTACTGATAACAAAATTTAGGTAAGTATGTTAATAGTTTTTATAATATTTTGATTCTGTACTTAAAAATAATTCAATAGTTACTGTACTTTGCGGTTATCCCTTGTATTTCAGCTAAAGAATTGTAGAACGTCCCTTGTATTTCACGTAACTAAGGCGACATCTCACGGCCGATAGTCACATATTATTACATCTAGTTTACAGGTTTCAACCATATTACAGATGTTTACTGGATAACTACTACCGAAAACAACGAAAAAAATGCAATAAAATTTGATAATTTGGCAAAAATAAAGCAAACAAGAACGTATTTAGATCATTCATTGAATAATCTTTGATAATAGATGTGATTTAGTGATGAATTAAGCAAAAATTTTCAACAAAAGTTCGATTTTAGTTCACATACGTGGGTGGATTCTGACCGAAAAAATCTAAAAAAACACCATAAATAATAATTTTTTGGCAAAAATAAAGCAAGCAGGAGCTCTTTATATCATTTATTAGTTAATCTAGATCATCAGTTATCAGTTATCGATGAATTAAGCAAAAATATTTGCCAGAAGTTCTATTTCGGTTCCCATACGATCGACAGGTAGATACATGGGTTTTTTTCGGGAACCGAAATCGAACAGTAGGACAAATTTTTTCTTAATTCGCCAGTAAATGATAACTGATATGGATAATTGATTAACAAATGATAAGAAGTAGCTGTGGCTTGCTTTATTTTTGTTAAAAAACGGCTATTTATGGTGTTTTTTACGTTTTTCCGTTTAAAGTCGCTCCACGTATATGAACGAAAATCGAAATCGTAAAGTAATGGAAAATTCAAAAGTTTTTTGAAAAAGACCCGATGCAACTTATGCTCTCCTAATACAAATGTTGAAATTTATGAAAATTTTCAGTTTTGAGCCAAATACGAGTGTTAGTCGAAAAGTAATGGAAAATTCAAGTTGTTTTTTGAAAAAGACCCGATGCAACTTATGCTCTCCTAATACAAATGTTGAAATTTATGAAAATTTTCAGTTTTGAGCCAAATACNCTGTTTTAATATTAACTTTCATTTCAATTAAATAAACATAAATTATTGCATGTTTTAAAATTACTAAGGGATACGGATTTTCTCATTGTTATTTTAATAATCTATAGATATTTTACCTATTGGAGGTACGATGAACAAAAGGCCTGGATTGTGTTCTTCCAAAACTGAAGTAAATAATTCCGGAGTAAACTTTGGAAGAGTTACTATTTTCATGCCAAAATGCAATGGGTATAGTGTTAGATTGGTGTGACCATAAATATGAAACATAGGTAAAACCGCTGGGATAGCTTCTTGATATGTTTCTACAATAAATAATACGAAATATACTAGTTTTCATTAATCATTCATTCATTCAAATGAATTTTTTTAGAAGGCTTACCGAATTGAACCCAAAATATACCTTTGTTTTTTCAACTTTCAAAGTCTTTTTTAGGATAGCATATTGATTTTAAAGACTATAAGATATTTACCTGTAGTGGGGATATGTAAATTGAAATTTGATATTTGCGTAATATTCGAAACTAAATTTCTGTGAGTTAATTCTACTCCTTTAGGCAGACCTGTTGTTCCACTAGAATAAGGCATCACCGCAATATCGTCAATTTTTGGAAAAATGAAATCATCGTTATCATATTTAATATCTGTTAGTTCTGTGAAATTTATGCTACCTCTTTCTGTTGATTCTGAAACCTAAATTATTTGTTTGTGAGCAAAACGAATATTATTACGAAATATTAATATTAACTTTAGTTTTTATTGATGTAAATAAAGATTATAGATTCTGTTTAAAGATAAATTAAGAGTTTAAATTTTTTTATTTTAATGGACCGTTTTTTTAATCAGTGTATGATGTAACGGCTATCATATTTTTTTAGTAGAATTCATTTTTATACTGTACCTGTGTCTTAATCGTTATAATAGGAATATTTTTCTTTGATAATTTAGTAGCATCGCTAGCAACTTGAAACATTGAATTCCATGTAAATATTGCTTTAGCATCGGCGTCTATGAGTTGCCTTGAAATCTCCTCTGTAAGAAAAATTAGAAAATTTCCTTTATTGTTATTGTTATCTTTATTTCTATTGTCATTAAATTAAAAAATCTTTGAAGTAGTTTAATTCAAAAATTGTAAAATAGAGTACCAATTACCTGATGTATATAAAGGGTTGAGCGTTGTCAATATAATACCACTTTGAAATCCTGCTAAAAGAATAATAGGATATTCAGGTGTATTGGGAAGTGATATTGCCACCACATCTCCTTTTTGTAGTTTTAATTTTTGCGTTAACGATTTGGCAAGGTTTCGAGATTTTAATCTTAACTCTTCAAAGGTATATTGCCTATTGGTTGCACTGCACACCTAAATAAAAAAAAATATTAGTATAATATAATAAGGTATAAATAATACAAAATAAACAAGAAAAAAATGTTAAATCTGAAATTTTTACACATCACTCTCGTTTGTTGAACTAAAATAAATGGACAAAAAAAATTATTAATTACACTATTAATTAATAATAGGATTAAATTAAGTAAAATATGAAATACAATAAGGGCATACACCAAAAGCCAAGTAATATAGCTAAATTCTAAAATGGCTACGTGCTGTCAATTTCATTTGTGACATAGATAATTGCTAAAGACAATAGAAATCGCATTTTCTAGATAGTGGCGCTATAACCGCCCAAGATAATTTCACATACAGATGTCTTTAAAAATACAGATGCCCTTTATTATCTAACTAACAAAAGTGATTACTTCCAGTCGACAATTACACACAAAACTGTTGATAATTCTAGCGTGAAAGACACTTTTGTGAGTTATTCTAGAATTGAAAACGTTAGAATCACCTTATTTATTAGAGTTTGTAACCACGGTAGCGGTTAAAGACAACATCTACCGAAAGGTGAGGTTTGAGCGAACTTATGGCCATCTATGGTGGACATGTACTAGGTTTTGTTTTAATGGTATAATTTATAGTTAATTAAATAAATTATCTGAGTTACAAATCACTAACTTAGAAAAAAGCTGTGATAAAAACAAGCGTTAATTATTAATGACGTGTAAGTTTTGTTTTGTGCAACGTGCAACTGAAATTATCAAGAGGATATAAATAAAACTAGCCTATTGAAAATTAGGTTATTAAAAAAATGATGTTAAAACTTGTGGCTGTGTCTTTATTTCTTTTTATTGCAATTAATTATGGAGATGGTCAACAACGAAAATCAGTAAGCTACTGTAATTTTTCTATCTTTTTGATATAATAAATTACTCCATTTATACAGGCACTTTCTCTGGGAGAAAGAGTACAACATTTATCAGAAATGGCCAACAAACGAGCAGTATTGAAATTTAATAGCAACAAATTCAGAGAATATATAAGAGTTCAACCAAAAAATTATTCAATGATTGTGATGTTTACAGCATTAGCCCCTCATCGGCAATGTGTTGTTTGTCACCATGCAAGTGATGAATTTACAATTGTGGCAAATTCATTTCGATATTCTCAGGTGTACTCTAATAAACTGTTCTTTGTTTTAATTGATTTTGATGATGGTTCAGATATATTCCAAATGGTAAAGCCTTAGAAGTTATTATTCTCGTAATATTAATCTAATCTAGTAAATAATTTTAGTATAAGCTAAACACTGCCCCAATATTTATTCATATACCTCCCAAAGGAAAATTGAAGCCTCAAGATAATATGGATATTCAAAGAGTAGGGTTCTCAGCTGAGGCCATTGCAAAGTGGATTGCTGAGAGAACAGATGTACAGGTTTGTTGTTTTTTGATAACTAGCCTTAGTAATTATTTGTTGTCATCATGATAACAAGACTAAATTACAATGAATACACATGTACCTTATAGACATTTTCTACAGGGAGCAGGTTTTTACATGTTGCAAAAGTAAAAAACTATAGTGTAAAACAAAGCAGTATAGTTCAAAATTTGTAGTGTTCTTTTTAACTCTATTAAATATTATACTTAATTAAGTTAAAATCATTTCAGATTCGTGTATTCAGGCCACCAAATTATTCTGGAACTGTAGCATTAGTTGTTTTGTTTACATTAGTAGCAGGATTTTTATATTTGAGGAGAAACAATTTAGACTTTTTGTATAACAAAACAATGTGGGCAACTGGCGCTGTTTTCTTTTGTCTTACAATGATATCAGGGCAAATGTGGAATCATATCAGAGGACCTCCTTTCGTACATAGAGGGCGAGATAATGAAGTGGCTTATATCCACAGCTCTTCACATTCCCAATTTGTATTGGAAACATACATCATAATGGTCCTCAGTATCCTTTTACACAGTCGAATTTATTATTTTTATTTGAAGTACATACCTAAGCAAAACAATAATTAATTTGTTTATTCATCATTATAAATACCTAATTTGTGCTAAAAATATTTAAAGAAAACCCGTTTCCAAATCACAAATTCTGTTCTACATTATTTTGAAATGAGTCTTTATTTACCAAGACTTTGGATTGGTCTTTGATATTCTTATATTAAATGTATATTATTTAACTAAACAAATTAGATGCGGCAATAGTATTTGGAATGGTGCTTCTTACTGAATCAGGGAAAAAAGGTGATCCATGGAAACGCAAGATGTTTGCTGTAACAGGTTTAATATTGGTCACAGTATTCTTTTCATTGTTACTTTCNTAGTGGTCAGAACATTGGTGCGTAAAGCCAAAGATCCCGGGTTCGATTCCCGGCGGGGGTGTGACAACAGCAACAATTTTTCCCTCATTAATTCGACGTTTTCTATAAAGATTTTATTAATAATAAGTAAGCTCACTTAATGTTGGAAATATATACAAAATATTAATTTATACTTCATCAAATTTTGTGGCATTATTGAACCGTGTTAGACATTATCGATTTTCCTTAGCGTCGATCATGTTTGCATTTCCCGATCAAGCCACCGTGAAAAAAGTTATCAAAGCGCTGCCGAGAGTTGGCGTCGGAATCAAATACGGCATACCCCAAACAAGGTAAGTTTGACGAATAATTTGTAGCAGGTATAGAAGAAGATTATTGTACGTATTAACAACTATCTTAGGAGGGCGAGCATGATGTCTCCGAGACAACTTATGAGGAACTCCAACATGACGCAAAAATGGCAACGGAGAGAAATATCAAATTTCGAATATTTGATGTTCCTGAATACGATTGCTGGTAAGTTGAATATCCATCCCTGCATGCTTTATTTTCAGGGTTAATCTGGGTGGAACATCATCATCATAAGGTCATCAGTCCTAAGACTGGTTGGACACGTACCTCCACTCTTTCCTATCCTGAGCTAAACTTCGCATTTCCCTAAAACTAGAACAACCCACATCCTTAACTATTTGCGAAGAGTAATCTAATCTAGGTCTACCTCTACCCCT